AGACACTCCCGCAGCACCCCCCGCTGCTCCTTTGTAGTCAGTCATTGTCCTTAGTCCCGCCCACATATTCCTAGTGTTACAGCCTTTGAAGTCAGATTCCACCTTGTCTTTGTACTGTCTCTTTGCATTTTTTATTGCTCTCCGGAGATCATACCTAGACTTCCTGTACTCCTCCAAATCTCCCGCTGTGTGCGCGAGAGTGCGCGCTTTCAGTTTGCCGCGCACCTCACCGTTTACCCAGGGCTTTTGATTTGGGAATGTCCGTACAGAAACCTTCGGTACCACGTCATCGATGCATTTCCCAATGTAGCAGATGACAGTGTCCGTGTGTGTGTTGATGTTATTGTCCTCAAACACACTCCAATCCGTAGATGCAAAGCAATCCTGCAGTGCTGAATCTGACTCCTCGCTCCATCGTTGTACTGTCCTTGTTATCGGTCTGTCCCTTTTAAGTTTCTGCTTGTAAGCAGGCAACAACAGTAGTGAGATATGGTCTGATTTGCCGAAGGGAGGGCGAGGGATAGCCTTATATCCATTCCGGAAAGGGGAATAAACATGGTCCAGTATGTTTCCCCCGCGCGTCGGGAAGTTGATGTGTTGGTAATATTTTGGCAAAACCTTCTTCATGTTGGCGGTGTTGAAATCTCCGGCCACAACGAACGCCGCATCTGGCCGTGAAGTCTCGGTTTTATCAATAAACCCAAACAGCTGATCGAGTGCCGTGTTGTTGTCGGCGAGTGGCTGCGGCGGGATATACACTGCTGTTATCACAACAGATGTGAATTCCTTCGGCAGATGGAAGGCCCGACATGAGATCATGAGGTGCTCTAGCTGTGCGGAACAGTCCGATGAAATAATCTTCACATCTGAGCACCAGTTGTTGTTAGTCATTACACACACACCGCCTCCCTTACTTTTCCCCGAGTTTGCAGTCCGGTCCTGACGAAAAATAGAGAATCCGTCAGGGACAATAGCGGAGTCCGGGATAGCGGGGTTGAGCCAAGTCTCAGTGAGAATTAACACGTTACAGTTCTTAATGTCCCGTTGAAAAGCAATCCGGCTTCTGAGTTCAGCTAGCTTATTTTCAATGGATTGAACATTAGCCAGAAGAATACTCGGAAGAGGGGGCCGATTCTCACGTTTTCTCAGTCTGACCAGCAACCCGGCCCGGCATCCCCGCTTTGTCTTCTTCTTGCGTCTCTCAGGTAGAACAGCAACAGGTAGCCATGGTGGATCTCCATTGTTTGTCGGAGGGTTAATATTGTCCACGAAGTTTCGCAATTGGAAAAGTTCCTCTCTGCTATATTGTATGGCAGAGTAGGTGCGGTCGGCTAGCATGTTGCGAACCATGTTAAAAGTAAAACGGCAAAAGTAAAAGACTTAGGAATAGAGCGAACTACAGATCTCCTGCGATCCCGGTTTTACTGGCCTAAAATGGCTGCTGAGGTGGAAGCAAAAGTGAAGACGTGTGACCGCTGCATTCGGAGAAAGACCCCACCTCAAAAGGCTGCGCAGCTGGTCAACATAAAAGTAACTCGATCGAACCTGACAGAAGCAACACAACCAATGTCCTGGTGATCACAGACCATTTCACAAAATATGCAGTTGCTATGCCCACACCCAACCAGAAAGCTGGTACCGTGGCCAAATGCCTCTGGGAGAACTTCATCATCCATTATGGTTTTCCAGAGCGCTTACACAGTGACCAAGGACCTGACTTTGAATCAAAGACAATTAAAGAGCTTTGTGAAGTGGCAGGGATTCAGAAAGTTCGGACAACTCCATACCATCCAAGAGGAAACCCAGTGGAAAGGTTCAATCGTACGCTTTTAAGCATGTTGGGAACCTTACAAGACAGAGACAAAGCACATTGGCGAGACTTCGTACGCCCATTGGTGCATGCCTACAATTGCACTAAGAACGATGTCACTGGGTTCAGCCCTTACGAGTTGATGTTCGGGAGGCAACCTAGGTTACCTATTGACTTGGCATTTGGTATCCCACTCTTTGAACGCAACCAAACATCTCACTCAGACTATGTACGGAACTTGAAGTCTCATCTGAAGGAGAGTTACCAACTCGCATCCAGCAATGCTGCTAAAAATGCTGCAAGGAACAAAGCCAGATTTGATCGACGCATCACAGAGTCTACACTTGAAGTTGGTGACCGTGTGCTGGTAAGAAGTGTTCGTCTTCGAGGGAAGCATAAACTTGCTGACAAGTGGGAACCTGCAATTCATGTGGTGACAAAGCGGGCCGGTGATCTTCCAGTGTACACAGTGAGACCCGAGAAACAAGATGGACCGCTGAGGACGTTACACAGAGATCTCTTATTGCCTTGCGGATTTCTCCCTGCAACAGAAGACAATGTAACCTCGCTGGAGCCAGTCTCGCGGAAAAGGACCCGGCAGAACACTTGCTTGAATCCTGCTGCACAAGATGCAGATGAAAACGTGAATCAAAATCAGTCAGATGAAGAAGTTCCTGTGAACTGGAATGTAAACTCTAAGTGTGTGGAAAGTGCTTGGCACTCATACCAAATCGAGCTGAAAGAGAATACCCATATGGAAGATGAAGGACTAGGCAGTCCTATTGGGATTATTCCAATTGAGTCCTCAGCTGAGCAAAACCCTCAAGCAACAGTAGCTGTCCCCCATCCTGGAGTCCTGATGGAGCAAGAGCAATCAGCCGAATCTGAGGTCGTCAAACCTGATTGTTCACTGAAAAGAGGCATCAGTCAAGTTGGAGAAAACACCATTGTGAATGACATAACTGAAGAAGAACCTGAAAGAGAAAACGTACCTGACGACGGAACAATGTCTGGAACTGCATCAGAAGGAACACAACCACCAGAGAATATTCAAAATGTCGTGGAGGATGCCATCCCAGTGCTCTCCAACATGTCTGCCAGCAATGACGACTCTCAGAAGCCAAAGACAAAAGCAACTATGCCTGAAATTGCTGAAGATAAAGATGAACAAGATGCTCTTCACAGACGTTCCAACAGACCCAGAACCATTCCAGATAGATTACACTACCCCCAATTAGGAAATCCACTAGTCTCCATTGTGCAGTCCCTTTTCCAAGGCTTAAGTGTAGCCTTCACAGACACACTACAAGGTCATGCTTATGAGGAAGTTCAAGCAGAAAATCCTCATTCGGCTGTGACCAGACAACCTGATAGGTGTTGCGGGACGTACACACCTTTAAGAGGGGAGTGTGTAACCCCCGGTTACTAAGACACTGAGAAATAACATTGACTAAAATGTCAACTTTATTTTAATGCTTAGCACTACATACACAAATAATATAAATTATTTGAAACTAAAATAGAAACAATATAGATACACAATATGCAATTTAGGACAACATGATTTAGACAATTCTTCATGAAAACATTTAAATGAGTGTGATTAGATAAATCCCCTGTCCATCTAAAGTGGTTGTAAAGCAAGGCTAAGCCAATCAAAGTTTAGACCCGCCCCGTGTCTGCTGTCTAACAGGAAGTGAGATGGCTGTTTATCCTTTTGGGATAATGACTCAGCAGCATTAGCTCTATAGATTTTAATTGTAGTTATTTTAACAACTTTTCACTTAGATTGACCGACTTTTCTACTTTCCCCCAAGAGCATTGCCTCTTATATGATACCCTTGGTGAGTTGCATGAGAAAATACGGATGTTAAATATGTATTTTAATGAAATTATCGATGCTAAATTAGCCGCGGCTAACCGTTGCTAACGCGTTAGCCTAGCGTGTATCCGTGTTGCTTTAATGTGTGCGGGGCGGAGGGATGTGAAGTCACTGCACCGCTCTATTGTCTGTGGTTTTGGCGGTGGTCTTCACGTTGCTTTGCCGCCAGTTGTGGCACATTGAAGGGGCATTGACCACAGCTTAGTCTGTTAATTGTTGTGGAATATGAGCAAAGTTGAGCTAACTGTGGCTGGTTATAGGTTGGCCGAAAATGAGTTTAGTACACTTTGTTAAAATAATAACATGTGTGACAGATGTGTTAAATAAGCTGACTGATAATTGTTGTATTTAGAATTGTTTGTTTAATAGGATTTTAGGAACATGTGCAGTGTATTTTGTTGATTTGATTAATATACAGAGAAGTGCTGTTTCAATTTGCATTTAAACCATTGTATAAGCATTCATTTGACTCTTGGCCTTGTTGTCAGGTCGGGTCTTTTTTTTGTGTGATGTGAAGGAGATTTTCTGGATTCTTTGACTGGAACGCTGCCCTCATCTCTGCTGGTGTACTGTGGCGAATTTCAGTCTGGCGAGCTACCCATCGACCTATCTAAAAGAAGAGAACTATTACAGTTACCCACCACGATAGTAGGACAAGAACTTGTGTATCTTTTCCTCTTCACAAGTTGAGAGCCAAGAACTGATTTGATTATTGATTGTGTGATACTATGTTGAATATGTTATAACTATATGTGTATAGAAGTAATGTGATAAGTTTTCTTTCATTTTATTTAAGAATCTGAAATAACATTTCAAATACAGAGTCCTGGTTCCCAAAACTAGAATATATAGCTTAGCTACTAAATTTAAATAAAACCATTAGTTTATATTAAATAGGGATAATTAAAACAGAAGTAACAACACTAAATGATACCAAAATAGTTATAAAATAAATAGGTACAAATAATTAAAACCAGGATACTCTCAAATTCAAGGTAACTGAATATATATATGTCTTTAAAATGTTTATCTGAAAGAAAGGGAATAAATATTATAGCTTTCTGTACCTTTTCCAAACAACGTCTGCTTTGTGTCTTTTCACCTTTGTTGCACAGTATCCATTTTCTCCTGAGCAACCTAGACTTCTGATGTGCTGGTCCACACACTGAAATTTCTACATTTATATTAGAGAGGTTTGATCGAAACTGATTCGTATAAATAATTCTGTGCTCAGCATTCATATTTGGTGCATGTGTTACAATACACTCTATGAATCTACCCTTTTCATTAATGTCCTCCACTCCTCACCACGTTGACACTGAAGATGTTTTCAGGAGTGTTGCTGTTCACAGACTGAGCCACCCAGCTGAAGTCGGCCGCCATGTTGCTCAGCCAGTTGACGGTCTCATCAGTGTGGTGATGGACGATGGACAGGATCTCATCGTACTGCTCTGTGGAAACATCCAACATCTGGGAGGCCTCGTCCAGCTCCACATGCAGGTCCCGGACGCTGGGGCACTCTGGAGGCAGAAGGAGGAGCAGGCAGGGGGGTTAATGTAAGCAGTGGTGTAAAGTAACGGAGTACATTTACTGTACTTAAGTGCAATTTTGAGGTACTTGAACTTACTTGAGTATTTCAATTTGTTTAGTAATTCTACACCACGACAATTCAGAGGTAAATTGTGTATTTTTACTCCACTACATTGATTTAATATCTTTAGTTACTTTGCAGATTTGGATTAATGATGTCAAATATAAACAACAATCAGATAAGACTTTAGTTTCACCTGGAGTCAAAATGTACGAGCTCCCTGCAGTATAAAAAGTGATTAAAACATGCTCCACCTTTAGCTCTGATAACGCTTAATCAAAACATAATGATATATTATTTTGAAATGGGTCGATCTGCATAATGAGTACTTTTACTTTTGGTACTTGAAGAATATTTTGATGCTAATACTTTTGTATTTTTAGTTGAATAACATTTTGATTGCAGGGCTTTTACTTGTATCACAGTCTTCCTACACTTCAGCTGAGGTGAGTGTGTGGGTGGTGTTGTTGGTGGTGGAGCTTCACCTGTGAGCAGCGCTCCCTGACAGGCCTCACACTGGCTCTGCAGCTGCCAGCACTCGGAGGTCTGTTTGCGAAGGTCCCGGCACAACTTCCTGTTCTGCAGGAAACGAGGGAACATCTCCCTCCCTACAGCAAACAGAAACATGTTCAACAACTAGATTAGTGTTTTTTATTAATTGACACTGTGTACAAAGATAAAGTAAGTAAAAAGCAACACACTCTCTGATATTCTCCAAGTTCCCACATCTCGTTTGAGTGCAATATTATCAATATTTTGTCATTAAAATAATTTTAACAAAGTAGGCCTTTATTTATCCAAGTCCTGTAGGCCAACAATGCTGAGGTACTTGTACTTAATTTGAGTATTCACACTTTATTCTTCTCAACTACAATTTACAGGCAAATATTGTACTTTTTCCACACTATTTGTATTTAACAACTTTAGTTACTGAAAGGATTTGGGATAAATAAAGCTAAATAGTGATGAACACGTAATACACCAATAGGTATAATCAAGTAATATAACGTAGGTCTATATTATACTGAAAAGGGCTGATGTGTTCTTTTTTTGGTACCTGGAGTATATTTTCATGCTTATATTTCTGTACTTGAATTAGGTACAATTTGAATGCATGATTTTTCCTGAGTATTCATACCCTGTGTTATTATTTATTCTACATAAGTAAACAATCCATGTTTTTCATTTTTTCTGCCGTATTTACCTTTCTTCTTCTGCTCCTCCACCGCCTTTTGGATGTCCTCAAACCTCTGGGTCACCACCGCTCCGAACTCCTCCACCACACTCTTGCCGAAGTCGAAGAAGGACTCCAGAACGTCCTCCAGTCCCACCCCCTGCAGGAAGCTGGAGTCGCGGGCCGGGTCGTAGGGGTCCGCGGTGTCCTCCTCCATCAGGGAGTCGGTGTAGTTCAGGAAGGCTTTTTGCAGGACCTGGTCCAGCCGGCCGCTCATCCTGGAGACCAGCTCCACACTGCGGTTCACCAGCCCCCCGACCCTGCTGCTCAGGCTGCTGAAGGACTCCTCGATGCGGTCCGCCTCCATGTCGCTGTCCTCGGGGCCCTGGTTCACCAGGATGTCCCCTGCATCCAGACGGGCCTCTTTGGGGCCGAAGTGCCCAGACACTCTGCGGAAGAAGTTCTCCACCTACAGAGTGAAAAGAGATGGAGGTGAGTTTTTGTTATTGTAACCCAGGGTCACAAGAAGTTTATGGGGAGTAAGAAAAACTAAATTCTGCAACACAAAACGCAGTTCACTTGCTGTTCCTAAGATCTTTTCTTGTTAAATAATGTAACGTTGAACCTCTTCAGACCTCCAAAAATATTGAAAATAAGGCAACAAAAACAGTCCCTTTGGTTAAAGTGATCCCAACTGATGACACTACCAGGGGTTAAATACAACTAATCAAGGCCCACAAGTATTTGAAGCACTGGTCTAAAGGAAATTACATAAAAAAATGCTGTTTTGGCACATTTACATTTTTTACTAGTGCAGCAATATTTATTCATTAATTGGACTAATGTCATTATTAAAAAATGCAAACAGGTCATTTAAGTCATTAACACTTGTTCCCTTATCTGATGTTTTGATGCATTGTTTACTGAAAAATACAACAAGACAATTCCACCACCTAGAGCCACATATTGCATCCCAAAAAGAGCCAAATAAAAGTTGTATTTTTGTTATTTTTGCCGATGTTGCTGCAATAGTTTGGAGGTTAGAGTAAGAAAGTCTGAAGTGGAGTTGGATACCTTTGCATGGAAGAAGCCATATCCCCTGCGGCAGGTGGAGGTGTAGAAAGTTTTGCACGCGTCCTCCAGACAGGGCCTGCACTGCTCCCACTCAGACTGCAGGGACTCTTTGCACTGCTGCTCGGCCTCCTGCAGCTTCTGCTTCACCTCCTTAGTCAGCTGGTCTGCCTCCTGGTGGGAGAAGGGAAGACATGTTTTATCTGTGTGCTTTTTTTCTGTCTGCCTTTCTTTCTTAGGTCAATGTTGTTCTTACCTTCTTCTTGTCACTGCTGTGTCGGAGAGACTTCATGAGGTGTTCGTGTTTCTGCTCGTTCCTCCACATCACCTCCCTCATCTGCTTCACCCCGTAGAGAGCCCGCCTTACCTCCTCGTCCACGAGTTTCTCCCCATCCAGGGACAACTCTGAGAGTAAGAAGAAAAAAAGACACAAATAGGGTGAAAACGATTGTCTCTTTATTAAATAATGCAATCTGATTTACAGTATATGACATTGAAAACTAATTAAGACACCTGTAGAAAGCCTATGATTTAATTCCACTGTTTACATTATATATCAGAATACACAACTCTCACATACTTTTTTGCTGTGGCAGATACAAATGTACTTTTGACTTTGATAAACAACATCAAACATGTTCCCTCTAAATGAAGGTAAAGATAAATTCAGAGTTTTGTGCTGACTCACGTTGTAAGGTGTCCTTTGAGATGCCGGTGGGTTCGTCCTCTGGGGCAGAATAAAGGACCCCCAGCGTCGCCCCAAGAACAAACAAACCAAGCAGCAGCTTCATCTTGAGCTCACTCAGTAGCTTTGAAGTTTAAAACTCTGGAAAAAGGATTCTGAAAGGACATAAAATGTGATATTACTATCGGTACAGAATCAGATACACTTGAAGATCCCTGAAAAGTCTTAAAGGGCCCATGTCATGGCCATTTCCACTGATCATAATTACATTGTTGAGGTATACTAAAATAGATTTATACTGTGCAATTTTCCAAACTCACATTGGTTTCGCATACAGCATCTCTGTCAAGCATGTGTATTCAGCAGTATTCACTTTCTCCACTAAACGACTCGTTGGAGCTCTTGCCCCCCCCCTCCCTGTGAGCCTAGTGTGCTCCGATTGGTCAGCTCGGCCACTCGTTCTGATTAGTCAACCACCAGAGAGGCTGCGCCCATGTCAGTGCTTTTCCCGGCTGCTCTCAGCGTAACATCAGTCTTATCATGGCGTCGGTACAGCGGTATATTTTATATACATATATATTTTTAACTGTTGTTATAGAAGAGTGTGACGGCCCCAGGGCCTTTGTCTTACGATGGGGTGGAGCTGAAGAAGCTAATCAGCACGATCACGGACACCTCCGGACACTACGGCCCCAGTCTCTCTCCAAAGCGGCTGCAGGAAGACTAACTCTGCGATCCTCTCAACCACCTATCTTTGCATTTACCACAATAAATGTGCCGTGGTTTTGTAAACTCGTGTATGTCTCCTTGTCTTTCCGTTGTGGCCTACGAGCTACTCTCATAACAAAGAGTAAGTTATTTTTACCCGTTATAAACTACTACTGTTTGATGAGAAATCAAATCATGGTTTGCTATATATGAATTCAGGGAAGAAAGGATAGGCCTACTAAGTATTTCCATTAAACTTTATTTTTAGAAATGTACAAAATGAACATAAATATACATATATACACGGTATATCATCCATTCCTCCTCCTCTTGCCTGCGCACAGCCGGTGCGGTGCGGTGCCTTTTAGCACGAGGCCTCAGTAGTAGTAGAATCCCTTCCCCGTCATGGATTGTCCGCCAGGATCTGGCTGGACGAAATCAAATGCAAATCACAAAATATTAGAGAAACTTAGTTGTTTTAGATTTGTTAGTAGTAGTTGTGTAATGAACAGCTTGCCTGCTAATATGCTAACCTAGCTTTGTTTACCTTGGTAGCTAACACGATATGAACGTTAGCTTGGAGGAAAGGCAACTATAATGCAGTGTAATAAAACTACTATGAACAAAAGCTAGTGGTTCATATTAGGCTAGCAATAACGTGTTTATAATTGCAATCGTATACGGGTATTCTGCTACCATACAATGTAACTTGCATGAATACATTGTTTTGCGCTAGCATACAGCTAGCCTCGTTAGCTACATGCAGTATATGTACGGTCACAATGTACGGTAAACCGGAGTATACTGTATGAGTATTCCGTGTGTGTGACTGCAGACATTCTCCTGCCATGACAAACATGTAAGGCCATCTGCTGACATTGTAGTTGATATATTTAAACGCTAGCAACGTAGCATCACAAAAATGTTTTTCTGACCAAAACTAGCTCAAGCTCCGTGTGTTAGATCGCTACGCCAGCTATAATGTAATTACGTTTCGCGATCTGACCGGCAAATCACCCGCAGTATACTGTCAATAGGTATTTTGTGTGTGAATGCAGACATTCTCCTGCTATGAGATACATGTATGCAAGGCCATCTGCTGATATTAGAGTTGATATATTTAAACGCTAGCAACGTAGCATCACAAAAATGTTTTTCTGACCAAAACTAGCTCAAGCTCCGTGTGTTAGATCGCTACGCCAGCTATAATGTAATTACGTTTCGCGACTGACCGGCAAATCACCCGCAGTATACTGTCAATAGGTATTTTGTGTGTGAATGCAGACATTCTCCTGCTATGAGATACATGTATGCAAGGCCATCTGCTGATATTAGAGTTGATATATGGAAACTCTAGCAACTTAGTTAGCACAGTTAGCACTGTGTCAATGGCTTAGCAGTCCAACACAGTTTACACATTTAAACAGTCTTGTTTGATAAATACACAAATAACAATGCAAACTTACAGGTTGTATACCCAGATCTTCCCCTGCTCCAAACGGTCCAAACAAGCTGTGCATATCCGGCCTCAAACTGGGCAATGTTTTTGGAAGCTTTCGTCTGTGAAATGCCGGTTCTTTGAACCTCTGGAGGAGGAACACGCCGCTGCTGGTGTGGCCATAGCTCTTCGGGATTGGTCCATTTCGTTCCGGGTACCGCATGACATCAGGCGGTACCCGGAACTAAATGGAAGACTCAAATGGGCAGTGACGTATCTCCAACGAGGCGTTTTGGGGAGGTATTTTCTGTGTTAGAGTTTTACTCGCTACAGGGTGTACTTTGAGGGTTTTGACTCTGCACACCGTTTACATGCATAAAAACCTTCATAACACACAAGGGGACGGGTAATAACCGGAAAAGCATGACATGGGAGCTTTAAGAGTATTTCATTTAGTTTTCCATATTAAAGTCTGAAGATGTTAAATTGTTGGAAGGGTCTGTATTGTATTTCTCCCCTGCACCCGCATTGATTTTACAGTGAAATCTTACATCTCAAATAAAGATATAACCTATATTTACTTTATGTTAAATGCACAGGGACATTGTTTTCCTTTTGACTTGATCTACTGCCATACCATTTTATTTTCAAAATGCAGTTATAGGATTTAAGTTAGCTGTATAAACACGGCACATATCAGTTATTCAATTTCAATAAAACTCAATAATTCTGTATACTGTAGTCTGGTTGCCCATTTCTCTTAGACCTGTTGTAACTGTTTTATTAGAGGAATTACATTTGTATTTTTAGAAAATAGCAGCTACCCTGACATTTGCATTATGATCACACACTGTGTTTAAATAAGGAAACAAAAACAACAGGGGCTATTAGGTCTGTTCCAGAAAGCTAATAGGATTTGTTCTGAGCATGATTAAACATCGAAAATACTGTACGTGGTCATAAGTAGGTCTGCCTCTTGGTGGTGCTGCACATCTGTGTACACTTAAACAACCACAGTCATGTGTCCCAAATGGACTTACATCCTTTTGATGTCAGAAGGTAACTGGAACAGTTTATTTTAGTTGGTTCGACTACAAAGATGTGTCCCAACACAACCTTTAACATATGTACAGTCATTACAGTGACGAGTAAAATACCTACGTTTTAGATTTGTACTTACTTTCGCATTAGAATGTGGAATATATTACATGTCCGTCCTGTATGTAAAGGCTTAATTGTCATATGCAACAACTTCAACCTAGTTTTGGCAATACAAATCTTAAATTCAAGGGTCCTCTAACAATGCATTATTTAATATACTTAAGAGATAACTGGAGTTAAATAATACTGCAAGAGACCTAATGGTGTTCTACATCTAATTGTTTATATTGCTTAGCTGTGTCATTTTAACTCTACAAATACTATAAGGATTAACTCTTTCATTTTTAAGAATACACTGACCTATAGCAGCCTTGCCTTTGTTTTCTTACTTTAAGCACCACTATTAGGAGGTGAACGGTAGGGGGTTTAAAACTTGCTGAGCTGTGTTTATGCCTGCACCATCTGCTGTGTCAGGTCAGGCTACATGAAGTGACAAAAGCTGAGTTCATATTGTGTTTACTTGCTAACTTAGTAACCAGTAAACAAGCTAAACTCACCTGCCCCAGTTCAGACAAACGAAGAGTTACACAAGTTAACATCCAGCGGGGATTTACAGTAACTGAGGATGTAGTCTTCACTTAATTCATTATTGGTTTAGGCTGCTCTATTATATCCTACTCAAAACATATCAAGCTGTTGTTTGTAACAAGCTCATATGATCTATAAATGAATGTACTAATATTGTACTATCTTAATCCACAGTATCCTTTCAAAAGTAGTAATACAACATACAGCTGTACAAATGATTGATTTATCAAAAATAACATTTACAATAGCACACAATCCTAAGAATATATCATGACACTAATAAATAAAATGCTTAACTCAACAAATGTACATTTAAAATCGAATTGTATGACTAATTACAAATAGAGAGAAAGACCTTAAGTAATAATCACAACATAGAAACTCACCAGTAAAAGAGTGAAGACGCTTCTGCTTTGCGGGCATAAACAAAGTGCTCAGTGTGTGGACAGTAGGCTTGTAGCTGAAGTCGAACTGACCGGTCTATTTGTGCTTGTTCCACTGGAGTCTTTATCCTATTACAGTCTTTGTTCATGTTGATGCCCGTTAATCCAGCATGCAACACGCTGCCAGAGAGGTTGGTTTTACGTAAGGGGCTGCTTAGTCATGTCAGGCTACTGTAGGATACAGTAGCAATAAAGCCAGCGCTCACCGCACTAAGTATGACTTTTCCATGCCCGCCGTACACACACACTGATATGGAAGGGGCAGTCTCTCCCCCCAACAACAGTGCATTACATAACTGTAAAACTTATAACTGCACATCTTATACTTATTTGATAACTACTATCCCTTGGTTGCTTGAACATGCTACAATATTATTAACCAGTGTCCTACTCCTACCTTATTAAAATATTGATATACGAAATATTTGTATTGGAACAGTTTGATGTAGTAATGCTGTAACATTTCAGCCACTAGGGGGGCCCCCTGACCCCCCGCAAAATCCGCCTATGGCATAAAGTGACATTTTACATTAAGTTAGCTTTAATACATTTCTTATTTGGCATGTGTTTTTGCCCAATAACGGATCATAAATGTACAAAATCTATTAACTTGCAATAGGAATGTATTCATTTAGGTCAGTGTATTGTAGAATCCATTTTGTTTCTGTTTTAATTACATTAAATATCCCTATAACCAAGTATTTTTAAACACCACCTGTCTGCCAGCACGAGAGCTCCCTTGGGCCAGAGTGAATACCACACCCTATTTTAGATCAGGCCGGGGTTAGGACTCTGTTCTTCTCACGTAAAGCACAAATCCAATCTTAAATAAGTAAATGTAAGATGCAAATGGTGGCTACTCTTGAATCATCTGATGTTGAGAAATAATTTAGTGATTAATCTAGCATTTAACTAGATTGCCATGCCTGGTCTGTTCAGAGAAAAGATATACATGTTATACACCACTGCCTCCAAGTGACTGAATTTAGCAATAGCATCTCTGTGTGAAAACATGTTTGATTGAACTGAGCAAGTGAATACATACAACCCATCTAGGCAGATAGTAATGTTAAACCGTGTATTTATTGACGAGAGGAAAGCATAGGTTCAGTCAATTAACAACTTTATTTTTTTGACATTAATAAAACAGCATGGATAAAGCGGAATGTTTGCCTTTCTAATAATCCTCTCCTTCCTCATCATCTCCCAGGCTATCAGCTCCAACCTCCTCGTAATCTTTCTCCAGAGCGGCCATGTCCTCTCTGGCCTCAGAGAACTCTCCCTCCTCCATACCCTCACCCACATACCAGTGCACAAAGGCACGCTTGGCGTACATCAGATCAAACTTGTGGTCAAGCCGAGCCCAGGCCTCTGCAATAGCAGTGGTGTTGCTCAGCATGCACACAGCTCTCTGGACCTTGGCCAGGTCTCCACCAGGAACTACAGTGGGCGGCTGGTAGTTGATGCCCACCTTGAAACCAGTGGGGCACCAGTCCACAAACTGGATGGAGCGCTTGGTTTTGATGGTGGCAATGGCAGCGTTCACATCTTTGGGAACGACATCACCACGATACAAAGGCAGCAGGCCATGTATTTACCGTGGCGTGGGGTCGCATTTCACAAACTGATTGGCTGGCTCGAAGCAGGAATTAGTGATTTCTGCCACAGAGAGCTGCTCATGGTAAGCTTTTTCCGTGGAGATGACAGGGGCATAGGTGGCCAGAGGGAAGTGGATACGGGGATAGGGCACCAAGTTGGTCTGGAACTCTGTCAGATCAACATTGAGGGCACCATCAAAACGAAGGGAGGCAGTGATGGAGGACACAATTTGACTCATTAACCTGTTCAGGTTTGTGTAAGAGGGACGCTCGATATCAAGGTTTCTACGGCAGATATCATAAATGGCCTCGTTGTCTACCATGAAGGCACAGTCAGAGTGCTCCAGGGTGGTGTGGGTGGTCAGGATGGCGTTGTAGGGCTCCACCACAGCGGTGGACACCTGGGGAGCTGGGTAGACGGAGAACTCCAGCTTGGACTTCTTGCCGTAGTCGACGGACAGACGCTCCATCAGCAGGGAGGTGAAACCAGAGCCGGTGCCCCCTCCGAAGCTGTGGAAAACCAGGAAACCCTGAAGACCGGTGCACTGGTCGGACTGAAAGAAAGAGAAAATAATAATAAATGTATTTATATAATACAAAGACAGCAGTGCCAAGGGTTCACAGCTAATGATAAAAAAAAGCGTATTAGTGCACAGCATGTAAACATATAGATTAAATTAAAACAGATCAGAGATAAGAGGGTGCCATACCATGGAGCAGTGGCTCTCAAATGGGGGTACGCGGACCCCTAGGGGTACGTTTGAGTACTGCAGGGGGTACGTGAGATTTATTTTATGTTAATAAAAAAAAAAAAAAGTCCTCAGTGAAGCACAAGCCCATGTTTCTCACTAAATTGTAAGTACAACTTATTAAAAAGATCAGTTCAATGCAACTAATGTCGTCTCAGTGTTATTGCATGATGTTAAAATTGGTTTGCCATGAATTTAGTGATGGATTGTAAACATTTGAAATGTAGCATTTAAGTGTTTCTCAGTTACAAGGTTGTTGTTTTAATAAATCAGACACCGATGGTGCAGCACTGTACCTCTTTATATAGGCATTTTTCCCCTAACATTTTTTTTTCAAAGGGGGTACATTATTGAAAAAGGTTTGAGAATCACTGCCATGGAGGGCTTTGAATGCGATCAGGAGGATCTTAAACTGAATTCTGCAGGGTGGAGGAAGCCGATGCAAGTGGGCCAGAATCGGGGAAATATGCTCACTTTGAAAGAGTGATCCGGGACTGTTATGTCTTGTGTTTGTTTAAAACACTGTACAGCTCTACATTTTAAAAACATATACTTCACATATTTATTATTAGTTATGACACTTGGCTTTTGCAATACTTATTTTTGCCATTCACCACAATATGATTGCATACTCCATATGTGAAAACCTACTTAGCAATAAACTGATTCATTTCCATTTAATACTCTTCAGAAAAATTGACTTTTGTTCTAAATGTACTGACCAGCTTTCGGATTCTGTCCATCACTGTGTCAATGATCTCCTTTCCGATGGTGTAGTGTCCTCGGGCGTAGTTGTTGGCAGCATCCTCCTTGCCAGTGATCAGCTGCTCAGGGTGGAACAGCTGGCGGTAAGTCCCCTTGCGCACCTCATCTAAGGGTAATGAGCATTAGATTATTTAAGGTTTTGAATGAGAGGGGGGAAAAGGCATTTGATACTTTTATCATTTATAATTAATGAGAATTTACCGATGACAGTGGGCTCCAGGTCAACAAACACTGCCCTGGGGACGTGCTTTCCAGTTCCAGTCTCCATGAAGAAGGTGTTGAAGGAATCGTCCCCTCCTCCTCCTGAGATGTTCTGGTCACCAGGCTTCCTGCCGTCCGGCTGGATCCCATGTTCCAGGCAGTAAAGCTCCCAGCATGAATTGCCAATCTGCACACCAGCCTGACCGACGTGGATAGAGATGCACTCGCGCTGTAAAAGGAAAAAAAGGTTGTTAAACTATCATAAAAAAGGAAGCCTAGTTGGCTGATTCTTGTGCAAAAACAGTGTAACATACATGCATTCTAGTGGCATATCATCACATGTGGGAGGACTGCTCTAGAGAAAAAGGCTATTTTAATAACCAAACATCATATCATGATTTAAGTCACCTGACGCACACAATTGTCATCTGAACAGAAAGAGTTATAATTAAAAACAAAAAGAGGCCAAATACTGTTTATAAGTCTAATACCGAAAGCACAATGACGCAGTTGTTGGCAGACAGGTGGCACGATTGGACGTGAATGTGGGCCAGTGTTGAGAGAACACTATGCATTGACATTTTCTGCAACTGTGTCACATGGATTGCGCCACTGCCACACCCCTTTAGGAGACTAGTGGCGTGGCAGGCCAGAACGTAAACACACATAATCATCTAATTCGACCTAAATAAAGTAAAAATTGGAACCATGTCTCATCTCTCTAATGTGAAGACAATGAAAACACGTCGGTTTGCTATCCTGGCTCCAAAATGGTGGAATGAGCTCCCCATTGACATCAGGACAGCAGAAAGCTTACACATCTTCCGGCGCAGACTGGAAACTCATCTCTTTCGACTCCACTTCGAGCGATAGAATTACTAACAAAGCACTTATATACTAATAAAGGACTGGCTTATCTAAAGCCAGTTGAGTAGCACTTGAAATGTTTTGGCTCTATGAAACCTGATGTACTTCTATGATTCTGTTTTCTTCAAGTTTGTATCTTCTTGGTCGAATGCACTTATTGTAAGTCGCTTTGGATAAAAGCGCCAGCTAAATGCGTAATGTAAAGACACTAAACCGAGGTCGACACAAATCCGTCGCAGGAAAAAGAACTCTCGCGATATTTGGGGAGACAGAGCGTTCATTTTATTTAAATATCGGCAGCGAGTAATCATTTCTGGTTCACTGAAATTCGGAAAACTTTTTTATCTGTGTTAATATCATGTTTTAAATATGAAACCATTAAACCTGGCCACTAATGAGACAGCAAGTATATTTATTTCCAACAATTAGCGCCGATTGTAAATGTGTCACTTCAACATCTTGAATGTGCCATCGAGTTACACTTAATTTACCAACACCACAGTTAAAACGACTTATTAATGACGAAGCTTGATTTACCGGCTTATACCGCAACATTTGTTTCCCTATAAAAATGATAAGTCTTCTTTAAAGAGTAAGCGGTTAAAAACGTTAAGCTGGTTACGTTTTCGCATGATGACACACGTTCAGAGCGCTGCATTTGGTTAAATACACATCCTCAAGTGGAGAAAAGCTGTACTATCGTACTCACCATTTTTCTGAAGATGTGAAGACAGAGGGTTTCGATAAAGAAGAGGAAAAGGCAAAGTTATCTCTCACAACAAGGCCTTTGTGAGTCCAGGTAAGAAGTGACTGGTGTATTTTTTTCTAGGCGGGGCTATTTATACTATCTTACGCGGCGCAATTGCTGCGGAATCTGATTGGATGAAAAGACACGTGAGTCCACTTCTGATTGGTTGAATTCTTTAGATTTTTTTTAAAGAAACTTAATTGAGCACATGGAAAACATACAAGAACACTGGCTAGTGGCTAACACAATTCCTGTTCAAAGCGGAATCACCCCACCTAAGAACGTCAGTCCCATGGATGTACTGGGAAAACGTGGTTATTGCTGAACTTTAATAAATAGACGTAGTAGAATAATAATAATTGAATTACGATAAATATATATATATATATATATATATATATATATATATATATATATATATATATATTTAAGTCATTTTCAAACATATCTTTGTCTGACATGAGTAATATTGTCATTCTTTATTGGTAAATATCATTCATTGTATCAACTGCAG